CACCAGCTGTAGATAATACTTTACCCTGTATCTAGTTATTGTACATTTTACACATTTCTACATTTCTAGCTGTACAGGATTCAAGAGAAGTTTCTGAAAGGATCTGGCATTTAGCACGTCCAAGCGTCATAGAGCTTGTATCTCACTCCTGAAGATTTGGTGTTGTTTGTTCCAATGCACTTGGGCACATGCTTTTGAAAAAGTGGAATAACCTTTCACAGAATCACAGAATAGGTAAGATTGGAAGGGACCACAGTGGGTCATCTGTTCCAATCTCCCTGCTCACGCAGGGTCTTCCTAGAGCACATGGGACAGGATTGCATCCAGACTTTCTTGAATATCTCTAGTGAGGGAGACTCCACAACCCCTCTGGGCGATTGTTCTTTCCTGCTGGCATTGTAACTCTGTGAAATACAGGTTCCCACACTTATATGTGCAGCAGAAATGAACACCAGCATCTCAGTTTCTGTTTACAATGGCAAAAGTCACTAGGATAATGAAATAAGCAGGACTATTGGAATAGAAACAATACGATGAAAATTTGGAAATACTTCTGTAGTCAGCTGATTTTAATGACTTTCTGATGTTACCCAGATTTTTTGCAATATAAATTCTTGGCTTGGGAAAGTGAAAAATACGGAGTGAAACCCTTAAGTATTTGATTCTTAGGACAGACAATTTTTTATTCCTTATAAAGTATGCCTAGCAGAGTGGCTCCTGGCATGTGCCACAGTAAGAAGACCAATCATCACCACCACCAAAAATAATAGCAACAATAACTTTGCATTTATATAATTTAGCAATTATCACCTGGCTTCACATTAGCTGTTTGGTCTGTGCTTACAATTATACATGATCTTCTCTTTTTACACATCAGTACATAACTATGGTGACTTCTTGTAGACAAGATTTTCATCTACCCTGTAAAAGCCTCATAAGACTTTTCTTACACTCAGCATTTTATAAAAAGTACTGTGTTATGATAGTTTTCTAAAGATAAGAAATAGTTTAGTAAGCTCTAGGTAAAATTTCATCTTCCTCCATAATTGCATGCCCTCTCATCTTCCCTCCCTGCAGACATCAGTAATGTTAAATTTCAGTTCTTGTTGCTGACTCTGTTTCTGAGGTCTCACAATGTCATATAGTGAAATTGGCTATTTTTCTAACATTGCTTCCTGTTTTTATCACCACTATTAATAAAATGCTTGGAAATTGATTATCTGTCCATAGTTTCTGACTGTTTACCATTTCATCGAAGTCATGACCAAAGAGGTGGTCATAAGGAAATAGGAAAGGGAGGTGCTTTGCTCAACTTTGTCATTTAGCTTCGTAGATTTAAGGTATATATTCTTCAGGGTAAACTGCAGAAGGGGCTGTGGAGAAGCAATTTGCTCCTCACTCTCCAAAACATCAGTGTCTGTTTCCTGCTTCTCCTGTCAACAATGTCCCTTGGAAGGGGATTGAGTCAAAGGCAGCTGACAGGAAAAGCAGTTTTCACAGTACCAAAGTATTTTTTTTTCCCCTTTGACAAGAAAAGAGTGTATAATTTTTGACTCCTTTCATACTGGCATCTGTTCTGCATATTCATTGCTTTTATTTGGCAAATGCGTGATGATGCAGCATCAAAAAGAATTGCTCAATATTTTTTCAGTGCCTTAAGATGCATTGGTTAGTATTGCCTAGTCTTTAAAAATGTAATTCTACCAAAAGAAATAATGAAACAGGACTTGACACTGATTCTGTTTGAATAGTGCATATATCTGAATATCAAAATAGTTAAAACAGAGATGTTTCTAGAATCTAATCCTTCATTTTTCCCCTGAAGTTTGAGGAATCTCCACAATCTTGTCATTCCTTTAGGGTTTTTCTTGAAGGGTTTTTTATACTTTTAATTTTTTTTTCCTCAGCACAATACCCGTTACATTTTTTATGTTGCCATAAATATGAACTTCAATATTTCTCCTTTTGTAAGGTAACATTTTAGATTAGGTTTCCCCTTTATTTTGTTTTCCAACTGTCTTTTGTAACACACAGGAAATTTCAGTAGATTCAAGTAGTTCTGTTATGTCATGTGTTTGTTATGTCTGATTTGTTATTTCAAAGATGACTTTAAAATGAGCATCATGCAGTGTAGATTACTCTCTCTTTACTTTGTATGCGGTTCTCATCCAGAAAGCTAAAAACTACCAAAAAGAGAGGAAAATGGTGATTTCATTGGTAAGATTTAATTTTTCATCCGAGCTCCAGCATCACTGAGCTGTGCTATGTTTCCTATCTACAAGTGTTCTTTCTGATTCTTTTAAACAAATGGGAATTCCAAACAGAAGCAAATAATTTCCATATTTTCAGCAGACAAAATGAATATTTCAATTAAATTGTATGTTTATTTTGGAGTTTGAATGAGCTTTTATTGTAGTTTTTGTTGTTGTTTTTAATCTACTAGAAGATGAATTTACTTTAGAACTGTTACATTAATCCAAGTACTGAATCCCTTAACTCGTATTTAATTTGAAAATATCATATGCAGTTAATTAAATTTTGGGTTGAGTTCTTTGGAAATAAACTTCTTGTTATTGATGATGTCATTAGTGCCAGGAGATATTCGTTTCCTGTGAAGGACTGTAATAATCCATTGGGATTTTTTTCCTTTTTTCAGTCCCTGCATGATAAATTAATAATTCAGATAATTTGTTTATAAACTAGGCTGTAGGGGGACATTGCTGAACACTACAAATAAGTTTTTGATGTAGTTATAAAATTATTTCCTATGCTATTTATCATTTCTTAAACCAGACACTGTTGATGAATATTCAACATCTGCATAAAGCACAGGGAAACCTTTTTAATCAGCACTAATACTGAAGCGTGAGTTTTCTAATCAGCATAACTGGTGTGTGGTGTGGGAACCTATAGGGTTGGTGAATTTTTCAGATTAGGGAGTGTTAATGGATGGAAGAAGGACAGGCACTGACAGCCAGAAAACTCTTATTCATTTTTAGCACTTTTCTGGCTTTCAGGAATGAATAGGGAAAGAAACTGTCTTGAAAGGCACAGGCTACCACACAATGAATCCCAAGCTCCCTTTGGATAGCAGGCTGTTTCAATAGGCTTTGACCCAAACAAACCATCTTTATCGTTTGTGGATTTGCAGTTTAACAAAATGGTATGTAGTGTAGGGCAGCTCTGTGGATTTAAATGCATGACCCAACAATGAAATCTAAGTTGTTCATGGTTCTCTTGAACTATACCTCATCCTCTCATGCTCTTGTTCTTATGGACCATAAATATTCAATTAGATTTGATGCAATTTTCACACTGCATTTTCTCTGTTGGAAATAAATGCTGATTTTGTCAGGTTACGAGGTGGTTGATGCTTATGGTGAACTAGGAGACAGTTTGAGAAACCTCTTTCTCTTTTTCTCACCTGAGTTAACTAGGTGCTGTTAAAGGCTGGTCTTTCATTGTCTTTTTTTTTCTCAAAAGCAGAACTCTGTTGTCACTACAGTTTTTCCTTCTGAAGGCAATTTCTCACTCTAGCTTAAAGACAAAGCTTTAAGATGCAGCAGTTCTGCTGCCTCTGTTCCCATACAGCCCAGGCTCTTCCTTGTCTAAACAGTGCAGTGCAGAGATTATAGCACTGCAGATTATACTGACTGCCCTTTGCTGGGGACTCCCTCTTCCATGTTGGGGGTGTGGAATGGAAAGCATGTCCGTGCTCCAAGAGGTGTTTTCACAATCTATCAATCTGAAGATGCTCCTGAAAGTGGATGTGTGCTGTGAGCTGAAGCATGGATATGCTACTTATGCAGCCTCTGCCAGCAGTCAGGAAAGCCTGCAAGAGAGGACTGGGATAGGGTAGGAAGGAGCAGAAAATTCCTTTATCAGAGCTGGTCTACCAGAACACTCAGAAAACCACGTTACAAAGAAACATTGCAGATCTGCTAACTTTATATTGTGGTTATCATAACACAATCCATCCTTGTATTTATTTTTATTTTTATGCTTTGGCAAGAGATATATCATGAGGAGCACCATAAACCGCACTTGCTGATAGTAATTCTGAGCTTCGGCCAAATCTAATACAAGCAGGCTCAACTCAATTGAAGTCATGCTTGCTTACACCTGTAGTGAATTTGATACTGGATGTATGCATTGACTTGTCCTAAATATGTTGCCTGAAATGATTAGCACTAACCCAGTGTATGGCAAACCTCTGAAGCCTATTCAAGTTAGGTGATTTATGATAATTTGCATTGCAATTGCCCTCTTCTGTGCTTCTCTGTAATATCTGTAATACACTCTCAGAATCTTTCTGGTTAATCTGTTTCCATAGACACCCTACCTCTGCTTCTGTGACTGCAATTCGCTTACAATAAGCTGCAGAAGCACTAGATACCAAAAGTACCAGTGGCAGGACATTTTCAGCAGCAAGGAGATGAGTGTTAGCTGCAGAAGCTGATGGAGAAGCAAATTAAATACTCAGGAGGTTAAACCAAGATCCATGTGACTATGGCTGTCTGTTGATACTTCCATTTGAACAAATTTTTATTTAACCCTGGTGTGTCCTAAAGACCAGCAGTCACTGCAGTGACAGCAGTGCAGACATCCCAGGAAGGAAGCAAATAAATTCACAGCCGATTAAGCTAATTTTAAACAAATCCATCTTCCATTTTATCAACTTGATATATATGATTCTAGAATTTCATGTTGTTTCATGTATGCTTACTTATTTTGTGAAAAGAAATATACAAAATACCTGATCCCATTAAGTCATTATACAGCTCTTACATAGTCACATTAATGCTTAGGAAATTATAATATTGCAATATCACTTTAGAGGGAAGGTAGTTTAAGAATGGTTCACGAATTGTACACACTGTTGCCTACATCAATGATAATTTGGATTGAAATGCAGGTTATTTCAGTCGGAAAACACAGTTTGTAATAAGGTCAGAAACTTCATAAGAAATTTTTAAATTAACTTTTAATCAGTTGCTTAATAATACCTGTTTTGATAACAAATAGGAAAAATAACAGCAGGAAAAATAGAACTGCTGGTCCATTTAATTCTACTTGGAGACAGCTTCCAGACTTTGTCAAAGTATTGGCAGAAATACAAGGCTAGTCTATCTTCAGCACTGCTTATCCTACCTGTAGACACAGAGTTGAGATACAGGTATTAGAATAGAACAAACTATTCACAATAAAAATATTTGGTATTGGAAGAGCTTGGTTTTGTTTCTTGTATTTTTTGGTGAAGTGCTCTGCCTGCCCTAAATGTGAACCCCAGGGATATAAAACTAGCACTAGATAAAGCCTTTCTATTTTGATTTCTTGACTCTTTTGGTGCAGACTTAAATATGAAATCCGGATATTTCAATAGCAGAATATCCATGTGTTTGCACCATTCACTTTGTAATCACAGGATTTCACCACTTTTTTTTCTTTTTGTTTTTCATTTTATTAACAGTCATGCTTGAAAAATAATGGAAGAATTTTTTAGCTGAGGGAATATAGGTTACTAGGTTGGAAGGGACCTCAAAGATCATCTGGTCCAACCTTTCTTGACAAAAGCACAATCTAGACAAGATGTCCCAATAGGCAGTCCATCTGAATCTTAAAAGAGTCCTATGCTGGGGAAAGCACCACTTCCCTGGGGAGAATATTCCAATGGCTGATTGTTATTATTTTTTCTCCAATGTCCAGTTGGATCCTTCCCAGGAATAACCTGTACCCCTTACCCTTTGCCTTTTCCACCTGACCTCTTGTAAAAAGGAAGTCTCCATCTTCTTTATAGCCACCCTTTAAATACTGGAACATGGGGCTAACGTTTCCCCTAAGTCTTGTTTTCTCAAGGTTGAACAGACCCAGCTCTCTCAGCCTTTCCTCATCTGTCAGGCTTCCCAGTCCTTTGTTCATCTTTGTGGCCCTTCTCTTGGTCCCCTCCAGGCTGTCCACAGATTTTTTTATTTAGTGGGGACCAAAATTAAACACAGTATTCCAGATATGTCCTGACCACTACTGAGTAGAGTGGGATAATGGTTTCTTTGTCTCTGCTGGTGATGCCCTTTTTGATGCGTCCCAGCATTCTCTTGACTACTTTGCCAAGGCAGCAGCACACTGCTCACTCATGTTGAACTTCTTGTCCACCTGCATCCCCAGGCCCCTTTCCAAAGAGCTGCTCTCCACCAGGTAGATCCCAGCTGGTGCTGCACTCCTGGATTATGTTTTCCCAACTACAAGGCCTTACGCTTGTCCTTGTTGAACTTCATAAGGTTTTCAATGACTTGAGAATGAAAATATAATCAAATCTTAGAAGCAACCCTAAATATTTATGGCCATCTTTGTTAATGTAAATGCTGCTTACTGCAGCTGTTAAGCTTTTCATGATCTCTATTTTTTTTTTTGTTTTGGTTTGTTTGAGTTTTTTTGTTTGGTTGGGGGGTTTTTTTGGTGGTTTTTTTTTTTCTGTCTAGGGAGTAAAAGCACAGGTCCTGACTTGTTTTATACTCAGACAAACATCTCTCATCTTCTAGATATCTGCAAGAATAGATTCATAAGTGATAATAGTTCATCTAATATACTGAGAATAATATGATCAGGTCTATTCTTTTGTTAATTATTTCTCAGAATTTTGTTTTTACAATGCTGAGACATTATATTTTGAATTCCCAAGAAATGCCATATAAACTACCAAGCCTTTCCACACAATAAACTTCTTGTAATGATCTCATATTTTCTAGGAGGTATTTGTCTACCTCATAAAATCATCACAGAACAACACAATTGGCAGCTTCTGTTCTGCAAAAGCAGATTATAATGGCAGGTCAAGGTTAACACAAATTGGCACAGCTTTGTGAGGAAGTTTGTAATTCTTCTTCTGACTTCCCATTTCTAAAAAATCACTTAATATGGTTATTCCAGGATTCATATTTTCTGCTTATGAGTTACACAATAAGCTAAATAAAGGCTATGTATGCTTTGTGATAATAGCATTATAAAATATTGTAATCACTGCATACATAGTATGGAAATAGTATATTTGTATATAATAGTATAAATAATGTGGTATAACAAAATAATCTATACTCTCCTGTCATAACTGTTGAATATTCTTTGAGCTGATATGTTTGCAGTGTTTCCTCCATATGTCCACTTTAAGCACACTATGATAGCTCTGGCCTCTCTGAGTCTTTTTTAGTCCTGTTCTCAAATATTCTTTATATGTCATGAATTCTTCAGTGCAATATTTTTTTCCTTTCTTTTTCTTTGTTTTTTTTTTTACAAATTATCTTTAACAGCTTCAGAGTCAGGATTTGCTTTGCAATCAATGAGAAATAGCACACTGAATATTGAGTAACAATTGTTACTCAATAACTGTGACAAGAATAATCCATTTTACAAGTCCCAGCATTTGGCTTGTCTATCCTCTCAAAAGTGCTGAAAGATAAGGGCACCAGCCAGTTAACAGAGGTGTGAATAATGACTACAACTAATGAGACATACCACAAAATCTGGACTTTTTCAAGTAGTTGGCTGCTATTATCCAATCAGAATACAGAAGACTTTTTGGTATGGAAATGTTTCATAAACTATCAATTAGTGATTTTTCTTTCCTTCTGACTGCCTGACGATCCTTTCAAGGCCATTCCTTATGTTCTTTTTCTCACTCTGTAGGCAGCATACAGTGGATCAAATTTTTTTCTCCCCAGAAATTATCCGTGTTCATAATTTGGAAATGTTTCTAGAAAATTATTACTCCAACACTGATCTATATTGCATTTTGAATGGGGAATGATTTTTTGAGATAGCATTGTTGCAGTTTTTTATGATATAGTTGTTCTGCACTTCTTTCACAGCAAGAATCTAATAATATAATGTGTCTTCTGAAGAACACATTAAAATGACATTATGTGATCAGGATGCCAATTATAGTATGACTAAAGACTAGCTATCAAGCTACAGAAAGTCAGTAATTGTGCTGATATAAATATAATGTTTATATGTCCTGAGTAGAAAAAAATTAATCCCATTTTATTACTTACATACAATTATTGACAAAACACTTAGGCATACATTTTCAAAGTGTTGTATGAGTTTTTAGCTGCATGACTCCCATTTAAGTCAATCGGAGTCACATAGTTAAAACCGCATGCAATGTTTTGAAAAATTACCACAGAGAAACCTCTCTTATTGCTTAGCTGCACAAACAATTTTATTCTCTAGTAGTTCTTTCACATGGCATGCTAGTAGTGCTGGCTGTCAGTAGTCTCATTAAAAAAAACCCACATTTACAGGCCTTCAAATATGGTGGTCTATATATATGCAGATTTCAAAAATAATAACATGATTTGTACTTCTATTGTTTCTTTCGTCTGTTACAGGCTGGTGCTTTAAAGCTGTTATTTAATTATGCCTCACATCACGGCTCCAGGTGGGTGCACTGGTAGCTGCCACCTTTGGCGGCTAACACGAGGAGACAAGGTGAGACAGTGGAGGAATAAAGAATTGAACCAGCCCAGCACCAGGTCCTTGGTCCCTTGTTCCAGCTATGAAATACTCCCAACCCACAGAGATTCATTGTTCAATAGTATGTAATGCATATGAAATGCTAACATTAATTGGAAATGGCACCAGAGTGACCTCACTTCAGTCTATTGAGGTCTGATATTGCTTCTTTTCACTCATTAATTCATTAATTAGTTTAAAAGGGCTAATGGAAAACAAAAATATTCCATTTGCCAGGGTGTATCACTGCTGAATATTTATATAATTTTTTATTATTCATGTAGGATCATAAGTGCTTAACAGAAAAGTCATTGTGAGTTTTCCTTGTTGTTGAAATAAACACAATACAGAATTTTTAAAACACATCAATTTAAAGGACTGATGGGATCTTCTTTATAATTTGTCTTTGGGAGGCTAAAGAAGCTCTAGGAAAACAATTTTATGAACAGCTTAGTATATTGACAGACATCACAAACACTTCCATTATGCATTGATGGCCTCAGCAACTTGCAGCAAGAGCAGAATGGCATCATATGAAATCTTTGTGTTTAATATAGTTCTCTCTTAGGCAAAAGAAGAGATTTGTACATGTTCTTTGATTAAATGAAGAAGCACACAGATAAAGTACTGATCATTATTAGTACCTATATATAAAAATAGTAACTAATGTTTTTATGTACATGCTTAAGAAATTGAAAAATTTTAAATTTACCATTAGCTAGGGTGTTAAGTTCATCAGTCTGGAGTTTTGGGTATAGAGCGTTTTGTTGAGACATATGTATATATTATATACTTTCAATAAGTATTTTTTAGATTCATTTCAGTTCTTCAGAAACACAGACTTTCCTGGACAAAAGAGAGTTAGCTTTGTCTGGCAGATATTGGTTTATTCTTGTGAATTGAGATGCATCCAGGTTTTCATAAACTGTAACTGGCCTCTTTATAAACAGAAATATTAGCCACACCTAGGTTTCCTTAGAACAGAAAATATAAATTAGTGCAAAATAAAGGTCATAATGATTATATATTTTCACACAATAAAAACTAAAATTGAATAAGATTCCATTTACCATCCTATTTTATTTAACAGCAAGACATTTTTCGAGTTTGACTGCAATAGTAATACCATGCTCTAAGACAAAAAATTGTTTTTTCTAGTCAATTGTACTCTTGTGCCTTTGTTGCTTGTATTTCTATCCACATTGAGTGCATTACCCATTGTTAAATGATTGATAAAAATTGTTAAATAAGGCAAACACTATATTCAGTGTAGTGTAATGAGGCCTATCAAGCAGGAGAAATACTTCTCATCGTGATATTAAAATTAAATGTAGCATTTTAAAAATTCTTGACATAAATAAAGAGGTTATTTATCTGGACCAATGCTTTTTCTGTAAGCCCAGTGTTCTGTATAAGTCATTGCTAAAGCACATATTTTACTATGTAGAATACCTTAATTTTCTTCTTCTCAAATGCATTTTGAACTTGCAATCATTAAACATAACATAGTCTGCAATTGTATGGCTTTCCTATGTAGGACTGTAACAGCTACTGCAGTCTTATTTCGCATGTAGTTTTACATATCCATAAGAATTTGATTTTCCATATAAAATGTGATACATCCACTCATATTTAATTGTCTACGGTAAACACAGTTTTATTTCTGACTACATTAAAATACTGAATTTAGCAGCTTTTTCTATGTGCACAGTTACGCACACACCCTTCCTTTCCCCTCCAGTTCTAATCAAAAATATTCCCAAGCTAAAGGAAAATAACAAACTAGCAGGCATAAGACATGTAGTACCTGTCATCAGTGTACAAAGCAATGATGCAGCCAGTATCACATCCAGTTGTCTTTGGTTACTTTTCCTGATGACAAAATAGTCAAGGAGAGCTGAATCCCTTGAAATGAGTTTACATTAAGCCTCAAAAGCAGACTTTTGGGCCAGTGCCTAAATACTTGCCCATTGTAATTGCATAGCAAATATAAGGTCTATCTCTGAATACCACTGACTGTTTTTTTAATTTTAAATCCACTGGTTTCATCTTTCTAATGATGTTGCTCTACTCTTTTGAAATTGACCTTTAATATAAAATTCTCTGTCATACCTTATTTAGAATGTGACAGAGATTTTGTCTGTCACAAAATGCTGCCATGCTTTTCACAGAAACTTTTATCTTAATGTAATCAGTAATGTTTCCTGTTTTGTTAAATGATTTTCTCTGTTTTTTATACATTTATTATTTTTAAATTTATTAAAACAATTCCTTCAAATATTGATGTAGGAGCATGGATCAACAGTTACTCACCTTAAGTGCTAGATTATGGAATAGAATTCATCTGTAAAAGTAAAGATGATGTATTATTATCAATGTCTTTGAAAATCTGAAATCCTCTTTTACCTTAGCTTTCATAACTGTTCTTCATGGTATATGTTCTCCTCCTCAAGGAATTCCCTTAATTGTTTTTTGTTTGTTTGTTTTTAGTAGTTCCTTTTAGTAGTTCCTTCTCCTTAGCTTGTGATAGATAAGACTTCAAAATCGAAATCTTGATAAATTCTTATTTCCCTCTTAGCTCCTTCTCTCATTTATCTATGATGTTATTTCCTGAGAGAATTTCAGCTACATAGAAGGGTAGATGGTTCACAAACTCCATTTCTTGTGGTTCATTTCCATTCAGTCCTACATAGGAGCCTATTTCACATCTCCATTTTGTTTCTCTGTTCCTGTTCTTATAAAAACACAATCCAGAGAAAATGAGACAGTTTACTGGAAAAATGGCAACCAACTAAAATAAAAACTGTACTATAACTTTTGCTGTCAAAGACCAATCTATATTCTTAATTCCAAACCACCTAGGGACACCTAAGCAACGTATCAGCAAGTAGGTATCATAACGTCCCAACAGGAGTTCATAAAACCAAGGGTTCTTTCCTTCTTTTTGTATATAAATTACTTGCCTAATCTTATCTAATGACCTCCAAATCTGTAATGTATTTAAGTTCACTGAAACTTTGTGAAACATGCATCCTATAATTTAACTAAGGTTCAGTGAGATTAATTGGTTTAGGAAAGGCCACATAGGAAGATGATGGCGGAGAGAGTAACCGATCATAAATCCTTTAATTAACAACATATAATAACATATATATTCTCTGTTCATAATTGCATATACACAGCAGGCCTACAATGTAATTTTCTTTTTTGGTTCTGAGGAGGCTTTTTTTCAGAGATTAAAACAGTCATTTAATACAAAAAACTCTAAGACAGCAGTGATGATGTTTAGCTGCTTTTGGGGTTATGCAGTAGAGGATTGATGTTTTTCCAGAACTGAAGATTTTGAGCTTAAATTTGTAATGCTTTTTATGAATCTGTACCTCAGTGATTTAAGAATTTAAGTTTAATTTTCAGCGTAGAAAAAAATTTATGGAAGAGCCTAAGCCTTTTTATGCCTTCAAAAATAAAATTTTAATACAAAATTCACAAACAACATCATCATTTTCTATGTTATGCTATTATCTTTAGGTAGATAACAGTTTTTTGGGAGCAGGGAATCCAACTGTATGTAGTTATCTCCACTTGAAACCTAGGACTCATAGCCCTGAATCCTTTCCATGTTCTTAAGAAAAAGAATCTCCAGAATGCTGCAACCCAAGGATGGTCAGTTTTATTTTCAATAATAGTGGCTGTCTGCTGGTATATTTAAATGTAGACAAGTAATTTAGAGAAGTGGGATCATATCATGTTTATACTTCAGTGGGATAAAATTAAAGTTCGATTTTTTCATGTTTGTCCTTCCATGTAGACTCATAGGATCATAGAATAGAAACATAGAATCATCAAAATTAGGAAAGTCCTCCAAGATCATCAAGTCCAACTTTTGACTGAACACCACCATATCAACTAAACTATAGCAATAAAGGTCACATCCAGTCATTTCTTGACCACTTTCAGGAACAGTGACTCTACCACCTCCCTGGGCAGCCCATTCCAACAGGCTTGACCAACCTTTCAGTGAAAAAATTATTCCTGATATCCATCCTGAACCTCCCCTGGCACTTGAGGCCATGTCCTCTTGTCCTGTCTCTAGTTGCCTGGGAGAAGAGACAGATATGCACCTGGCTACAACCTCCTTTCAGGTAGTTGAAGAGGCCAATAAAGTCTCCCCCGAGCCTCCTTTTCTCCAGGCTAAATAATCCTAGCTCCTTCAGCCATTCCTCACAGGATTTACTCTCTAGACCCTTCACTGTCTTTTGTTGCCCTTCTCTGAGGTTGCTGTAGCACCTCAATGTCTTTCTTGAACTGAGGGGCCCAGAACTGGACATAGGACTCAAGGTGTGACCTCACCAGTGCCGACTACAGGGAGATAATCACTGCCCAGGCCTACTGGGCACACTATTTCTGACACAGGCCACAATGCCATTGGCCTTCTTGACTGCCTGGGCACACTGCTGGCTCATGTTCAGATGGCTGTCGACCAGCACCCCTGGGTCCTTTTCCACTGGGCCACTTTCCAGTCACTCTGCCCCAAAGCCTTTTGCTCTGCATGGGGATATTTTGACCCAAAGGTACAACTTGGCACTTTGCCTTATTGAACCTCATACAGCTAACCTCAGGCCATCAATCCAGTCTGTTGAGATCTCTCTGTAGACCCTTCCTGCCCTCCAGCAGATCAACACTCCTGCCCAACTTAATTTCATCTATAAACTGACTGAGAGTGCACTTGATTTCCTCATCCAAATCATCAAAATCATCCAAATCATCAATTGGATGTAACTTGATTCACCACCACTATGGGCCCAGCCATCCAGCCATTTTTCAGCTCAACAAACAGTGCACCTATCCAGGCTGTGGGCTGCCAGCTTCTCCAGGAGAATGTTGTGGGAAACAGTATCAAAGATTTTTCTGAAATCCAGGTAAATGACTTCCACAGCCTTTCCTTGGTCTACTAGGTGGGTCACCTTATCATAAAAGGAGATGAAGTGAGTCAAGCAGGACTTGCTTTTCCTAAAGCCATGCTGGCTGGGCCTGATCCTCTGGTTGTCCTGTACATGCTGTGTGATGGCATTCAAGATGATCTGTTCCGTAACCTTGCCCAGCACCGAGACAGGCCTGTAATTCCCTGAATACTTTTTCCTACCCTTCTTGTAGCTGGGTGTGACATTGGCTAACCTCCAGTTGTCTGAGACCTCCCTGGTTAACCAGGAGTGATGATAAATGATGAAGAATGACTTGGCAGGCTCTTATGTCAGCTCCCTCAGTACCCTCAGGTGAATCCCATCTGGTCCCAGACTTGTGAATGCCTAAGTGACACAATAGGTCACTACTTCCTCCTGGATTACAGTGGGTCTATTCTGCTCCCCACCCCTGTCTACCAACTCAGGGGGCTGGTTGCCCTGAGGATAAATGGTCTTTCTGTTGAAGACTGTGGCAAAGGCGGCATGAGTTCCTCAGCCTTTTCTTCATCCTTGGTTACAATGTTCCCTCCCGCATCAAATGAAAGATGGAAATTTTTCATGGCCCATTTTTTTTTCTCATTAATGTATTTATAAAAACCCTTTTTATTGTCTTTCACAGTGATGGCCAGCTTGACTTCTACTCAAGCTTTCGTCTTTTTAATTTTCTCTCTACATAACCTAATGACACCCTTATATTCTTCCTAAATTGCCTGCCCCTTCATACAAAGGTCATAAACTCTTTTTTTTCTGCCAAGTTTTAGTGAAAGCTCCCTATTCAACCAAGCTGGTCTTCTTCCCCACCAGCTCGTCTTTTGGCACATAGGGACGTCCTGCTTCTGCACCTTTAAGAATTCCTTCTTAGAGTATGTCCAGCATTCCTGGACTCCTTTGTTATTAAGGACTGTTTCTGAAAGGACTCTAAACTAGTGTCCTGAAAAGGTGTAGTGGGTTTCTGTGGCTGGGTTTTGGTAGTGGGGGGGCTACAGGGGTGGCTTCTGTCAGAAGCTTCTAGAAGCTTCCCCTGTCCCATGGAGCCAATGCCAGCTGGCTCCAGGACAGACTTCCCGCCGCTGGCCAAGGCCAAGACAATTCGGAGTGATAGTAAGGCCTCTGTGATAACATATTTAAGAACAGAAGATTGTTTCACAGAAGGAATTCCAGCCAGGGAAGAGCGGAGTGAGAATGTGGGAATAACAACAGAGACACCACGGTCAGTGCAGAAGGAGGGGGAGGAGATGCTCCAGGTGCCGGAGCTGAGGCCCCTGTGGCCCATGATGAAGACCATGGTGGAGCAGCTGTGCCTCTGCAGCCCATGGAGGACCCACCAGGGGCGGTGCTAGACCTTCCGTTTACAAACAGAGAAGAGCTGGTGGGAGATGTGGTATCCGGAGGCCATCTGGGGTACAGTGACCATGAAATGATAGAGTTTTCAATTCTGCACTGGTGTGCAGAGACCCACCTGCAGCCTATGGAGGAGCCCATGCTGGAGCAGATGGATGCATGAAGGAGGCTGTGACCCCATGGGAGGCCCTAGATGGAGGAGGATCCTGCCAGAGACCTGCATTCCGTGGAGAGGGAAGCCTCCAAGCTGGAGCAGGTTTTTCCCAGTTAGGACTTGTGGCCCCTGTAGAGGACCCACGCTGGTACAGCTCATTTGTGAAGGACTGCACCCCATGGAGGAGTGACCCACGGGACAGCAGTTTGGGAAGAACTGCTGCCCAAGGGATGGACTCACACTGGAGAGGTCCATCAAGGACTGTCTCCAGTGGGAGGGACCCCACAGGAGCAGGGGAAGGACTCCTCTCTCTGACCAGCGCCAGAAACAACAACTGACTGTAACCCCCATTCCCCGTCCCCCTACACTGCTGAGAGGGAGGTGGAAGAAAATGGAAGGAGGGGTAGGTGGAAAGTGTTTTTAAGACTGTTTTATTTCTCACTCTTTGGCTCTTATCTTGTTAGTAATAAATTTAAGTACTATCCTTACTTTGAGTCTGTTTTGCCTGTGAAGATAATCAGTAAGTGATCTCTCTCACTCTTATCTCTACTCATGAATCCTTAGCTGCTTTTTTTCTCTCTCCTCTGTCCAGTTGCAGAGGGAGAGTGAGAGAGCGGCTTTAGTGGGTACCTGGCATCTGGCCAGGGTCAACCCACTACAACAGGCCAAAGTTGTTCCTTTAGAAGTCCAAGGTAGAGTTTTTGTTGACCCCCTTCTTTATTTCACCAAGAATTGAAAACTCTATCATTTCATGGTCACTGTACCCAAGATGGCCTCCGGATACCACATCTCCCACCAGCTCTTCTCTGTTTGTAAACGGAAGGTCTAGCACCGCCCCTGGTAGGCTCACTCACGATCTGCTACAGGAAGTTATCCTCCACACAGTCCAGGAACCTCCTAGACTGCCTCCTCTCCGCTGTGTTGAGTTTCCATTTCGTGAAACAGCAGCCAGCCACTTAAAGATTACTTCATCTGCCTCTTCATCCTGGTTGGGTGGTCTATAACAGACTCCCACCAGGATGTTGGCCTTTTTAGCCTTCACCCTGATCCCTACCCATAGGTACTCAACCTTATCACTGTCCTTGAGCTCTGCACAGTTAAAACACTCCCTAGTGTTCAAAGCCATCCCAATGCCTCTCCTTCCTCACCTGAAACTTTTGAAGAGCTTATAATCATCCATTGCAGCACTCCAGTCATGCAAGTCATCTCACATCATTTCCATGATGGCAACTATATGATAGCTTTCCTACTGCATAATGGCTTCCAGCTCCTTTTTTTTTAACCCATACTGTGTGCCCTGGTACAGATGCACTTCAGCTGGGCTGTTGATTTTACCCCCAACACTGGCATGCAACTCCCAGGCTCATTTCTGGTGAGCCTGGTCTTATCCCCTTACCCCTCCAGATCTAGTTTAAAGCCCACTCAATCAGCCCTGACAACTCATGGGCTAGAATCATTTTGCCTCTTTTAGACAGGTGAACTCCATCTGTCTCTAGCAGGCCTGCTGCCATGTAAACAGCACTAGGATTGAAAAAGGCAAAATTCCACAGATGGCACCAGGCTTTAAGCCATGTGTTGATCTGGTCAGTTTTCCTGTTCTTGGTGGCTAGACATTTTTATAGGGGTTCTAAGTTCATAATCCTTAAGAAAACAGAATTGGAATTATTTCTTCTCTTGGATGAATTCCAGAGAAGACTTTTGCCTTCACAAAACTTTGAGTTAAGTAATGTGGGGTTTATTATTTTGAATTAATATTTGCTTATTTATTTTTCTGTAAAAGAGTGATTCCTAATGCTCGGCAAAAAGTTAAAATACATTGTTGAAACAAATTTTGTTTGTATTTGATGCATCTCTTTGCTAGATAGTTAGATATATGAAATCTTTGCATATTTATTTCAGTAAATATACTGCTAATATGCAGTTATGTGAATTTTAATGGATGTCTCCATTCTATTTGTATATGTTTTTAGTCTAGTTCAACTGAATGAGTATCATGCTTTTGTAGTTGATATCTTCAGAAAAGGTTATTCTCCTAAAAAGCACAAAATAGTTTATTTTTTTAATATAAGCAAAAGAGACAACTTTCTTCTAAATAAGGAATGCATAAATTTATCTAACAATTTTTCATTTTAGTTTTTCATTTGGTTAGGAATGCTAAACTTAATCGTGCAAATACTGCTTTATTGACTGAAGGCCTGAAAGTGGTATAGGAAACATATAGTTTGTGAGTCCTATAAGGAATTGAACATATGATGCATGGCACCCAAACCCTTGGAAGCATTCAGGTAGCAGATGAAAGGACATTTCGAAATGTCACTGTCATTTTTAAAAATGAAATTTAGACTTTTAAATCACTGAGATATTTTCAGTATTTTTATGTAAGCACTGTATAGAACCAAAAAGTGCCAGACAGTTCAGTGTTGTCTAAGGATCAAATAAAAGCAGAATAAACTTCTTGGAAAAGTAAATTCATAAAGGAAATAGAATTTTTGTTCGAGAGCCTTTATATATAGAATTACATGTGTTCACAAGATAATGAGACATATGACATAACAGTCATCTAAAGAAAGGGTGCACTTAGTACAGAAGTCATTGAACTACGTGAAAAATAACAGCTTAGAATTGCAAAATATTCAAGTACAGGTTACAAAATCCTGGGGTCTGTCAAAACAGAATAGATACACAACTGGAATGAAGATTCGGTGTTATGAGTGTCTGACTTGTGTCACAGTCATTTGTACATTTGAAAGAATAGATTGGTCTTCAGTTGAAAAAGGAGAATGGGATCAGCACAACTCATCTATCATGGTTTTCTAACAGAACAATGTTTTTTCAGAAGAAATTCCAGGATTGCTGCAAATTAAACCAACATTCTACACCCACTCATATGGCATTGGCATTGTAACCCTACCCAGGTGCATGGCTCTAAAAATGCCCTCTTAGAGAGTGGGCAGTACTCCTGCAGGCTTTTGAATAGTCTGAGTACAGCTAACTGGATCCAAAGTGCTCCTGGATGAGCAAGAGGGACAAGAACCTCTGGAGCTGAGTAGATAGCAGGCATTTGCTGAGCTAATAGCATGCAAGTATCCTCACAAAATTCTCATTATTGTTGCTTAGAAGAAACAGACATTCTCCTACAAGTTTAGTAATTTTTGTTTTAATGCTATTACTCACTAGCTAAATAATGACTTTTGTCATTATTTTAAAATAAGAAGTTGTCAGCTGTCTTTTCATAAAGGTCCTCATTTGGCACAAATTTCCATTAAGTATATATAAGGCAAAATACCTGTTTGTTCATCTGTTATTATCTCTTTATATTTATTTGGGTGGTATTAGCTTAGGTGTGGAACATAAATAATCCAGGGTGTCAGAGATATCCTGAATACATTGTTTGAATATTGTTTGAATACATTGTCTTTTATTTCATTTTTCATGAGAAAAAAATTTAAAAGGAAATTTAGATCTTTTCATTCGCAAAATATGAGCATCTCTGAAATTACTCTTGGTGAAAGAAACCTGGAGAGATTCTTCTGCTAACCTAACCATCAATATCTGCCAGTATTGCCAGCAACAAAGCAACAAAGTGTTTTGCAAAGTGGTTTTTTTTGCAACTTTGTGTTTTGGTTA